AGAGGGGATTGTCTTTAAAAAATGTCTTACTTTCGTTGCACGTTAAGAATGACAATAAAAAATGAATATGACTACAACGGAATAACGCGGAAATTTTTACTATAGACTATACACGAATACGTTGATATATCTACATGTACATATACTATAATTAACTGCACGTGCATGTACTATATCTACAGACTGTTTCTTCTCTAAGTTTACACAAAGCATTAAAAATTTTATTCGTTGACATAAATCTTAAATATTTCGTACTTTATCCTTCATTCAATGCTTTTAAAATGAAACTATGAAAATTAGAACCTGTGTTTAAAAGCTATGGTTATAGAGCAGATTTTTTGGATTGAATTTCCTGTAATTGATTATGTTGGAGATTATACTCGAACAATGTAATGCCGTTTCTCTTTCTTTTATCACTTTTTGGACAAGTAATACACAAGTAATTACAAGAGTAAATCCGATGGCATGTTTTTATTGGGATGCACCTAAACTATAGGACTTAAGGTGTAATGATCTTGCGTTCGAATCGGCGATAATGCAATTTAACTCTTATATCCTTAATCCGTTAAGATGTAATGCAAATACTGTTTTGATGGCATTCACAGATTACTTATACCCATATATACACTGAAAAATAAAATATTCATCAACCCCAGCACTGGGTCTGATTTGAGACGTGTGAAGATTTCTGAAGAAAACGATGGTAATTTTTTTTTATCTTTATGTTTTTTTGTTTTTTTTTATTTTTTTTAAAGTAATAAGCAGATGTTAATAATAATAATAATGATAACAATAATATAATAGTCAGCTAGGTGAGATCAAAATGTGCAAATACTAGTAGCTGGCAACATAAAATTATTGGGAAGGGGGGGGGGGCATTTCTCCTAATTCCTGTTTCTTCTAATTCTTCTTCTTCTTTATCATAAATTTTAAAGTGAAAATTCAGGTCCTGAGATACTAATTAAGGCAGACATATAAAGAATGATTTGGTGCACAAGGAAATAACCACACTTTATTAATATTCGGTGGAATTAATAGGAAATAGTTCAAATCGATCATCATTGTTAAATTTTTCAGGTTTTCTACAGGATCGGGCGCCTTGCCATCTTTATCATTTCTTTTCTTATTCAGGGTAAGTTATTAATGTTGCTACATTTCTTTAATTTTAAGAATTTTTTATAAAATATATCTAAGAAATTATAAAAAAATAAAACTTTCATCTTTTTCTTTCAATTAATACAACATGAATGGAAAGAAAAATTTTTCTGGAAAACTTTCTCGAAACATTTTCATAAATGGCATTAAGTAGACCATAATTTATTACATATGTTCTTTTAATCGCATCTTTTTTTTTCTCTCATCAAGTTCAAGATCATTAATTCACCCAAACCAAAATATTGGTACATGGGGTTCATTAATAACATATATACATTATATACAAACTGGTCAGAGGTACATATAAAAAACAAAAAGAACAAAAAAAAAAAAAAAAAAAAAAAAAAAAAAAAAAAAAAAAAAAAAACATGACAGATTGAAAAATGAAAAAGAAATAAATAAATAAGAGAGGAGAAAACATATCAAGGAGGACAGACAGCATCATAAATTTGTAGGATAAACATATATAGTTTTTTCAACATTTTTTTCGTTTTTAGTTAAATTGACATTAGTTCCATGAATTTAATAACATTCGGTCTGTGGGAATAATAATTGCATAGGTATTTTTTTCTTACATTAGCTAAAGTTTTACATTCTAATATATAATGAAATTCATCAGCAGTTTGAGTATTATTACAAAGTGTACAGATTCTATCACACAGTGGTATACCATGCCATCTTCCAGTCTCAATTCGCAGATGATGACCAAGTTACTTACAATAATTTAACTGTCGACCGCCTAAAGATCAAGTAATAATATCATCTGTTTTCATGATCGTAAGAAGACTGAAAGACATATTAATAGCATCTTTTTAAGTACATATAATTCATTGTTTTCTTAAATCATGAAAATAACAACCAGATCTATGTTTTATATATATATATATGTTAACGTTAAATGAACAAGTTTAGCCACATAAATTAATTTTCATTCAAAGTTTCTCCATAATGTCCACATACAGTGATAAAAAATGTATAGCATTATAAGTATGATGGCAAAAAGAAGAAAATTGAACATCATAGAAAGTCTACAAGTTTTTACATGTAATATTTTAGAGATTTGATATATGCACCAGAATATACCGATTCTTACGTCAATTTTTTTTTATAGGTAACATCCGTCCTTAATCTGGTATTCATGTGTTTTTAAAAAGTTTCTCACGATTCTTCTGTCCAATTATTATAGATCTTTATATCAGATACTTGGTCGAAAGAAAGTTTTAAATCTGCTCAAGGTCATACACATTTATATAGAGATTAAAGTTCAAAAGAGAATTCGTATGATATTGGATTTCGCCAAAATATCTTTTTTTAATGGAATTCAGAGCACAGGGTGTCTGCCGTAACCTGCAGCTCGGGATGGACGAAGTATGGCGAGAACTGCTACAGACTATACACAACCAAAAGACCTTGGATGGATGCTCTTAAAGCTTGTCAGTCCGTGGGCAGTAGTTTAGTAGATGTCGGATCTGACGGCGAACAAACATTTGTACACAGTAAGAAACATTTTTTATGCCTACTCCGATATTTCAATGAATATGCAGTCCATCAAAATCCGTTTTTATGATATAACCTCGGGAGTAAATCACCATGACTTTAAAATGTACCAGATAGAGGATATTCATTTTTAGAGCGAAATTTTAAAAATCAAAGCCAAGTTTAACCTGTGTGCCTCATTTCAGATCTCGCCAACGGAAATGAGTTCTGGATCAGTGGGTCAGATGCGTCCACGGAGGGTCAGTGGCTCTGGTACGGCAGTATCCAGTCCTGGACATATACAAAATGGAATTCGGGTCAGTATTCCCGGAACAAATCAATTTTTCAATCAAATTTTTGTCTGTAAACCCAGTGCTGGAGTTTTTAATTTTTCAATTTCTTGCAAAAACACGAGTGAAGAATTTGTCTCTTAATATTGCACACCTAATTAATAGGACAAAAAATGTTGCGTCTTTGATTTTTTTTTTTACATAAATCAATTTTTTTCCGCCAATGGAACTAACCAGCTCTCGAATCTGTTATCGGAAAAATAGAAAGGTAAAATGAAAGTCAATTTAAAATAGTTGATTTTTTTTAATCTTTCATGTAAATAGGATAAAAGTTAAAGTATTTTATAATATAATATATATGGGAGATCAAATATTCAATTAGTACTATGAAAAGATAATTGACCACAAATATCGTATATTGAAGAATAGACCTGAAATTATTTATTTCAAATCATTCAATCCCAGTTTATTTTTCTTAATGATACATGTTCTACAAAAGGGGAGGGGCTTTCATATGTCAGATGAATATGAGTACATGTTCCACTGACTACTTATCTATAAATCGCAAGTCTTCATGCAAGGGACGAATATTAAATGAAAATCTTGTTTACATGTATATAAATGTGAAGAATACAGACTGAAGTGTAATCATGTAGTATATATTGAAATCATGATGCAAATAAAGTCATTGTATTTTTGAAAATTTATTTTCAGGTGAGCCAAATGATTCCGGCGGGGAGGACTGTGCAAGTCTTCTTAGTGGAGGGAAATGGAACGATTACCCTTGCTCACGTGACATGGCATACATTTGTGAACAAACAAGTAGTGTATATTTTTTTTACCTTTATTCCGAATGGCTATTGATACCTGGAATTTATCTTACAATATGCTATAATTTTCATGAAATCTCGCTACAGCTGCGTTGGATTCCTGCGACTCCTCGTGGAGTTTTAGGAACGGTAAATGCTATAAACTATTCACGTCCAAGGTCACGTGGTCCAACGCCCTGAAGACGTGCCAGGCCAACTCTGCTAACCTGTTGAACGTCGAAGATTCCTCCGAAATGTCTTACGTGCGAGGTAAAATCAGAATTTTTTTATTCAGTCGTTTAATGATCATTGTTAAGTAGTCAACGTACAATGGGTAAGGTTGATATGACTTATTTTTTTGTTATTTTTTATTTAATATAAATTTTTGTTATTTCCTTTTTGATTATTTTCAATTTTTAAAATTTGTTTTCGTTTTTTTAAATGTTTTACTTTATATACTGTTTTTTCACCTGATTGAAATTCAAAATCTACTATATTTTAAATTTAAGAAAATGCTTCTTTTTGTACAGTAAAAGACAATGCCTGACTGATAGTTTTTCATAATCTTTTCTTTCAGGGTTAATGAATGGACAGGATATGTGGATGGGTGGATTTGACGGACCAAAGGAGGGATCATGGGCGTGGTCCGGAGGTACCTTTTCCTGGAGTTACACAAACTGGAAATCGGGTACATGAAAAATAAAACCTTATCTAGAATCATGATTGTTAATTTTACTTGAGATCGATTTCATGCCATATTTAAGATTTTAACATCTATGAAAGCAATAATTTATCTTTACCCTCTATCTGTGGAAGTTCAAAAAAGTACTTAATGTAACGTAAAAATAATAAATGACGCCATTACTCCAGGTGAGCCAAACAACTCAGGGGACGAAGACTGTGCTCTGATTTATGCAAGTGATGGTCAATGGAATGACGGGAAATGTAGCGGGACATTACAGTTTATGTGTAAAAAGAACAGTGAGTATTGAATAAACTACAGTAAAATACGGTTATATTGAACACGATTATACTAAATTCATGATTACATCGAAGTGTTCATCATTCCCAGTCATTTTATCACGTATTAAAATTATGGACTTCTCAGATTTAACAAATGAAATTACCTTTATAACGAATCAAATAGTTCGTCATTTGCACTTTGCGTGTTTTAGGGAACTTGAAATTGAAATCAAAATTACCTTTATTAGTAAAATAAATAAAGAAATAGTGACTGTATTGTTCTTATTTTTAATCTTTAAACAGCACCTCCAATTAATGGCGGATGGTCGGCTTATGGATCATACGGATCTTGTTCCAAAACCTGCGGGGGAGGAACGCAAACAAGGTCCAGGACATGTACAAATCCCACTCCACAATGGGGAGGTGACCAGTGTGCTGGATCCGCCACAGAATCACAGGCTTGTAACACACATTCCTGCCCAAGTGAGTATATTTTATCAGATTTAAAAAAAAGTATCAAAGTAATAAGCATCAAGATGCACTTGGGATTCTCGATGGCTTTAAACATCTCTTCAAATGTAAATTTTGGAAGATTCTTTTTATGGCCTTTAATTTGTCAATGTATCAAAACAAGGTCCAAACAGTTTGTGTTCCTCATTTTTCTTAAACATTTAATTAAAATAAAGAAGAAATTGATCAATATTTATTTATTTATTTTCCTAATATAGTTGACGGAAACTGGGGTTCTTGGGGAAATTGGCTCACTTGTTCAGTGACCTGTGGAGGTGGAACTCAGAGTAGAACGCGCACCTGCTCAAACCCCTCCCCTCAGCATAATGGAGCAGACTGCTCAGGTGCTTCCAGCAGCTCTCAGTCCTGCAATACAAATCCTTGCCCGAGTAAGTACACATTAATATGTGTAGTTTTTACATAATTTAATGATTTACTTGATTTATATTTTGCACTTCGAGCGCGTCAATTTTTGATTTTTTTTAAATGGAGATGCACATGCAATATGAACCTAAAAGTAGCATGATATGTATTCTAAAGTCGACGGAAACTGGGCAAGTTGGGGAAATTGGGACACCTGCACTGTAACCTGTGGTGGGGGAACACAGGGTAGAACACGCACCTGCTCAAACCCTGCCCCTCAGCATAATGGAGCAAATTGTGCCGGCTTTTCCAGCAGCTCTCAATCCTGCAACACTAATCCCTGCCCAAGTATGATTAATTTTATAGAAGACCTTAATGCACAGTAACTTTACTGGTAAACATGGAATTTTGTTTTTATATGAGGTGCATGAAATGAAACAAAAAATACAAGAACTTCCAACATCTCTCATCTACAGTCGACGGAAATTGGGCTAATTGGGGAAACTGGGATACTTGTACAGTGACTTGTGGCGGTGGAACCCAAGGGAGAACGCGTACCTGTACAAACCCCACCCCACAATATAATGGGGCAGACTGCTCAGGATCCTCCAGCAGTTCCCAAACCTGCAACACAAATCCTTGTCCAAGTAAATACGAGTCTTTCTGTGCAGTTTTTTTTTTTTACTGTAGATAACTTCTTATTTGCGAGAACTTTATTTCTGTGTAATTACCAGACACCACCTTGACTCGAAAATTTTATTCTCGGGTTTATTTGTATTATTAAAGCTAATATATGGCAAAATAAAAATTGTAAAGAAAATCGTAAAAAAAAAAATTGCGCCACGAATATTTGGCGATCTACAGTATCTAATATACACGCATGTAAATATTATATTTTTATTATTATATTGTTTACTCAATATATTCATTATGCAAACGTTTGAAACAATTTCGTTTTAAAACCCAACAGTTGACGGTAATTGGGCATCATGGGGTAACTGGGGAACATGTACAGTGACGTGTGGGGGAGGGACTCAGGACCGCTCCAGAACCTGCACTAACCCTGCGGCGCAGTATGGAGGAGCTGATTGCCCAGGATCGAATCAAAGTACACAGGACTGTAACACTCAAGTCTGCATAAGTAAGTCATTTTCTCAGTCCAGCAGTTGCAAATCATTCTTTGTAAATTATAGACATTTCTATCGAACATTCTGTATAGCAGCTAGTCCAGATGAAAGTTTGTTGCATTTTTATTAAGTTCCTGACACAAAGTAATAGAACATTTCTCAGCAAGGATTTCCATTTTTTCAAACCATGACCACTTTTCCTTTATGCATTTTAACCTCAATATCCCAAATACTCTGATACTCTCAAATACTCCCCGGTTCCTTGGAGGTCGAGATAACGCGTTTTGACTGTATACAGTGTATATACATGTACATGTATTATGTTTCGTTTTTTGTAAACAAAAAATTACAGAAAGTGAATTATGTGTTAGGAAAAAAACACTAATGGTTACGGTTAATAATTATTGCAGTTGATGGAGCATGGGGCGCTTGGGGGGTCTGGGGTACTTGTAGTGTCACATGTGGTGGAGGTCAAAGGTCACGAAGCAGGATTTGTAACAATCCTGCACCGGAAAATGGCGGAAAGAATTGTCCCGGAACTTCTGGAGATTATGGCGACTGTAACACTGACGCCTGTCCCACTGCAGCCGCTGGACAGTATATGCAGGTAAACAGGTGTCTGTGCTTGTAACTTAATTTTGATCCAAATTTGTTCAAGGATATTTTTTGACCGTTCTTGTTTGGCTTCGTACGAAACTAACGGCCGTTTCATGCGATAGTTCGGAAGCTGACTTCCTTATACTCGCGTCACGTACCCCGTATGCTGTATACATCATACATGTACATGCATTTATATAGCATAAGAGTGTTAGCATAGAAGAAACGGTCGGGTAACTTTCACTGAGTTGAATTGGCACAAATTACATGTATAGACTGTTTGTGAATATATTTTAAAACAAATGCGCTCTTACTTAAAAGCATATAGTAAGAGAAAACATATGAAAGTCGGCTTTAATGACGAGAATTGAAATTTTTAATGTATACTGTTCTCCCAAATTTTATTTTGGCTAGATTTTTAAAATTTTAGTTTAAATAGAAAAAAATATTGAAGCACTTTTCGACAAACTGCTGATCTTTTGACATTATTGAGATATGCTTTAATTTTTTTCAGTTGTGTCCATCAAACTATTTCACTTGTCAGTCTGGCAGTATGACCTGCATCCAGAACGTGTTTAAATGTGACTGTTCCCCAGACTGTGATGACGGAAGTGACGAAACAGAGGGATACGCCGGATGTACCAATGCAGCAATTTGTGAGTCGAGAAACGAAGCAGGTAAAATAAACACATCATCAGTATCTTAAACGTTTACGTTTCCTCAGGATTATGGCACACTACCACATATCCTTCCGCATGGAGCAGTGGCTAGAGCGTTTGCTCTAGAATCGCGGTGTAAGGAGTTGATCCTTACGTCGCGAGTTCGAATCCCACTGTGGGACGTGGAGTTCAGTCCTGCGGATGAGACTGTATAAACGGAAATCCCTATCGCAGTAGATTCTGGCAGGAAAAAGATCCCTCACTGCTCAATGGCCCTGAGTACCGGCCCGTGGTGGCGTCTCCAACTGTTGTTGTTTTACGTCCCATTCGAGAATTTTTTCGCTTACGTGTGTATAGAGACATCACCATATACCAGTGAAAGGCTTCAAAGTGCTTGGCACTCGGCACTCAGGACCATTTAGCAGTGAGGGTTTCTTATCGTGCCAATGCATATCGGGACTTCGGGTTTTAAGGTCTCATCCGAAAGATCCGTGATTTTCACTTCTAATACCGGGCACTTGGCGAAGGAACAATCTCCAACTATGTTTACGTCAGGTTTGACGCAGCGTGGCGAACGAGAACCTGAGCCTCCCGAACATGAAGTGAACACCCTACCACTAAGCTACATGTATATCCTGATGTGTTATAAATTTCTATATCATACAGTCAAGGGTGTTTGACCTAAAACTGCCGGAGATTTTGCACAAAAAATTCAAAATATAAAAATTCAATAACGTCTTCGGAATTTAGAAAACCAAATGCTTTTTTTCTTGAAAATATGATATACATGGACGTCATGCTTACTAGAAAAAAAACCCATACATATTCATGGTTTTTGCTAATATTTAGAAAAACTGCATATAACAATCCACAGATGGTATGTTTTCATATGATTTTTTTCAAATCTTGATTTTTTTCCTATCAAATTAACATTCTGAGCTACGCTAAACAAATTCAATCGATTCAAACATAATGCCAGATATAAAACAATATAAAAGATATAAGATATAGAATTATGGTAATTAAATATATATATAGAGAAAAAAATACGCCAGAATATGTTTTTCTAACAACAAACCGTAAAATAAACTGAAATACGTTATATATATGACTTCTTTTACTTTCCATAAGCGTACCGTAATCTGATCAACAGTTGACATTGGATTACTTATGTCCTGTCTGACATACTTAAATCTGTAACTTACAAGAAACATATTGACGCAAGCGTCAAAAATCGGCCGCAAACCAATTGTTCCTTTTATGAGGCAACAATCCGCAGGCCCGGATTTTATTTTTCGACAACAACTTAATTTTCTTCACAAATATTTGGGACTCTCTTTCTCTTAAGCAAATCCAAAGGAGGGCGTTGAAACCCCCACAACCCCCTCTAGATCCGCCACGAAGTTTTTTGTTAGGTTGTTGAGTTGTGGTGGGAAAATGCTTGGCACATTGTAAAACGCGCTTTATCACCGTCTGCTGGAGCAAAAAATCTCGTAATATTCTGTCTTTCAAGAAATTAAAATTTTATCATATTCTTTTAAAAATCCCATAGAAAATGTATATACACTGTATGTCATTTTAAAACAAACACAATTAATTCTCCTTAAACAGAGAAAGTAATATTGATTTTATATATTTATATATCTCGGTCTTTGCTTTAGATAATGCCTAACACGTGTGTTAATATTCTCCGCACTATCAGAGGTCTTCAATCAGGATTCGATCAGATACAACATTTACCCAATTATTTAATTTTATTCAATTTTAATTTTATAATTATTGTACGTTTTTGTTGAACAGTTAGACACTCTTTATTAATATTCTATATATGAATGTTAAATACTTTTATTTTTTTTTAACTCCGCAGAAACGCTACATCAAACTTTCATATCAAACAAGTGAAGTAGAGCTTTTTCAAAAAGCTTACCGTCTTTAGCAACAATCTTAAACAGTAAACTGACCTAAACCGATCAGGCCGTATAATTCTTGAAAATTTCTTGGCTTTGTATTTCTTCATTATTTATTTTTTTCTGACATAAGCAGACCTGCCTACCCTTCCGCTTTTGGCGTAATTCTTCCGCTTTTTACCACGAAATTACGCTGTTACGCCATGAAATTTAATTTTACGCTTTTAAATATTTTTCCTAGACAACTTAATGAAAGGCTTACTTGAAAGTTAAAGTAAAGGCTTTCCTAAATAAAAAAGAGAAGAAGGTAATTATTACTAATTAATAGAGGGTTTCGGTTCTTCACGATATGATTATTTACAATACAGACAACATAGGTCATATACTTTGTAGTTAAGCCTTTTTAAGGGGTGGCATGCCAAACTTAAGGGAAAAAACTTTTGAATGATATGTCCAATAAGTAAAGTCAGTTTAATTTTCAATTGTTTATTCTTACATTGCTTAGAACAACACAGAGTCAAGTAAATGTAAGGAAAACAAAAACGAAATAGCGCAAATATGTTGAATTTGTATTAACGTGCAAATGAAACTTTGAATTGTGTGATTTTCTATAAATTTTCCAAAAGTTCGTTAGGCATGTGAGTTAAATAAGTTTGATATGACTGCATTGAGAATACCAGTTTTACAACACATGGACTTTTTTTTTCAATAAATGATTTGAAAACGGAACATTCATGCTTGCTTTGTTCAATGATGTACAATTACAGGTTTATTTAGACAATATAGTATCATTTCAAAACGTCAAACTAGGGAAACATAAAGGATTACGCCTTTACCTCTGAAATTCCCCGAAATTAGGTATTGAAATTACACCCTCGCAATGAAAAGGGTAGGCAGGTCTGCATAAGCCTTATAAGTGAAAAGTTAAAAGATGCTCGACTGTCTCCGTAAACTTCGACTCTGCTGCCGAGATCATTCGGCACACCTCGGCTGATTCCTCACCTTTGTGATATGTAGATGAGATACATGTACGAATCAGCATACTTTATGATCAAGTTGACGAGTTACAAAAGCGTAATTTAATTGTTTTTTAGAGCTAACTTCATAACGCAGATAATGTTCGATAATTTTATTGTCTCCTGACCAAAAGGTGTGATAACCATTGTCATAGGTTATAAATTGAAGCTTAAAGGGTTTAGAATGATAAAATTTTGTCTGTCATAGAAATATTATGCAGAATTTTAGAATTGACAAATATAATGTATTCTACATATAACCATAAAATGTCTGGAAAAGAAAAAGAAACTGTGTCTTATTTTCAATAACAAAGATTTTTTTCTTTTCAGGTGTTGACATTGCTTCCGTTGTCCTCATGATGACATCATTGATTACAGCCATCTTAATGATAAATCGTTAGAGTTCGCAATTAAATTCACGTCAATATTCAACTGTTGATTTTTGTTTGTTTTATTATGAGATTGTTAAAAACTTTGTTAAAAGATTATTGCGTTACACCAATCAAGGATAATAAATATAAAATCCATTTGAAATTGTTTTGTTTTGTTTTGATTTGTTTTGTTTTGGTTTTTTTTAGTTTTTCTTTAATCTTAATTTTGTCTTATTACTTATAAAATGCTACTGTTCAGTATTAACGTAAGATGATTAACGTAATATGTAATTTAGTTTGTCCCTCGAAGATACAAGTAAACAACCTGGTTTTGAAACACTGCATAGGTTAATGTTTCCTGCAGCCAACCGATTCAATTCGCGCACAAATCAATTTAAGCACACTGTGTTCTGCTGTTAATGCTCGAGAAAAATTGTTTCAAAGAAATCAAAAGGCTAAAGTAGGGACCATTATTCTTAACGTACATGTAAGATAGTGATAAAATGTAATGTCTGTTTCATAAATTTTATTTTTTTATAAATCTGATACCAAAAAATACACGTTTAAAGACTTATGGTCACCCACTTTTGGTGTCTTAGTGGTTGGGATGCAAATATTTATGGAATATTGTAAATGTCTTGTTTGTGTGTCCTGTCTTGTCTAGATCTGTCCATCATACAAAAAATATAATTTTTTTCATTGATAAAGGTCACGGTTAAGATTTAAACTTCTCAAAACTGCATTAAAATTCAAGACCAAGGTAAATCATGGTCAAATATCATAATGCAATCCGAAAGTCCTAGTCACAAGTAATGCACATGTGAAAAAATGTGAAAGTCCTGTCTCTTCTGGAGCAAACGTTAAAATTTTTGCTCCAGACTTCTAGGTCAAGGTTATGAAGTCAAAAATGACAGTTCTCTCTAAAAGGTGTATATACTATTAGGTACATGTAAAATATGAATGCCCCATCTTCTCTCATTCTCAGTTAAAGCAATGTAAAATTTCTGAAAGAGACTGAAGGTTAAA